GCCTGTGTGGCTCAGCTGGCTGGGTTCATTCCCTTGCCTTTTTTTTTTTTTTTTTTTTTTTTTTTTTTTTTGGTGCCCAGCACTGCATATTTTCACTCAGCGCTGTGCATTATCTCTTCAAAGTGGAAATGGGTTATGCCACCCTTTGCCGAAAACAACTTCCCTGCACTTAGAATAAACCTAAGGACCTTTTCTATGGGCGTGGTCAGATCTCTGCTTGTCTAGCCAGCGACTCCTCGCCCGCAGCTCATCCACACAGTGCTCTGACTGTTCCTTAGGTTACCTTGGCCCTGTGCTCACAGTGCCAGCCCAGATCTCTGCCTGGCTAACTTGCTGCTGGTCAGGAGCTTTAGGCTCTGGTCTCTGTCAGGGGCTCTGCCTGCCCAGCTCCGGCTCCCAGGGCTCCTGGGCTTCCAGGCTATTATTTAGCCTCTGTCTCCCAGTGTGGCCCAGTTGATGTAGACCCATCTCACACTTAGACATTCCATCTCTGTGTCTCCCAGGCTGAGAGGTCTTGGACGTGTGTCCCGGTCTGGGTGAGTCTCAGTGACGACAATCATCGAATGGGGAATAATGGTAACAATAGTGCTTGGGGTCCTGCACAGTGCTTGGGACTCTGTCAGCAAAGCCAGTGACCAGCACTTAGAAGACAGCAGCGGATGCCAGCTCTCAGCAGCAATGGAACTATCGTTATCCACCGGCTACCTGTATTTTTGGGCATCCCTCCCTTAGCTTCCTCTCAAGTGGCAGCCGTGGTGAATGTTCCTCTGCCCTCTCTACCTCACGCTGAGAGGTCAACAGCATCCTCCCACTTCTCTCCTGAGTCCTTCCTCTCTGTCTCAGAGTCGCTACCACCCCATACTCCAGATACCCAGTATCTTCCTGTTACTGCCATTGATTGACAAGGAAATGCCCACTAACACATGCTATGGTGTTAGTAATGGCTTGGCGTTTAACGATACCGAGCTGAGTACCGTGGGATGGTTCAGAGAGTAAAAATGGCTCTTGCTGCCAAACCCAAGGGTCAGATGTACAGTTGTGAGTTACCATGCCAAGCTCAAAACCTTCTGTTAAATTTTTTTTTTTTTTTGAGACAGGATCTCGTGTAGCCCAGGCTTGCCCTCACTTATCGCATAGCTGAGAGTGACCTTAACTTCCTGATCTTTCTGCTTCTACTTCTTCTCTCAAGTGCTGGGATCGCAGGCAGTGCGGCCCATGCCTGTCACCTCCGGCAAATCGTCAAGGGGCTGTGGCCCTGCTGCTTTTACATTGTGTCTGACACCACACCGGGCGCTCCCCATCACGGCCCCTTCACGGGCGGTGAGGGCTTAGGTCTGGACTTAAGAATGGGAGACATTCTCCATGTTTCCACCCATACTGCAGCTCCCCATTCCCAGGCGCAGGACGGGATGAGGGTCTCCCCTGGCCCCAGAGAGCCTGCCTCACCTCAGCCAAGGTCCTGGGTCTAGTTTTTCCCACCGAGCAGAAAATAGCAAGAAAAACAGATGAGAACTGATACCCTGTCCTGCAGGGTCGGCTGGGACCTGGTGCTGGAGGAGCCCCAGGAAAGCTTTACCCTCCCCCCGGGGCCTTCAGGAAGGGTAAGGGGGAGGGGTAGAGGCCCCTTTCCAGGCACCCCTCTCTTCCATCTGGGACAGTGTCCATCTCCCCTGTCATCCTGTCCACATGTGGGTCTTGGGGTAGGTTACCTGGTTCACCCTCCATCTTCGGGTGGTGCCCTTCTTGAACAGGCCCACGCTGAAGCAAAGGGTATTTGGGACCAGCCACCATCTGCATCTAAACGACCCAGTGACATCGAATCCATATTGCCGTGCCAGCTGAACGCCCACACAGTGGCGTTCCCCTGAGACCTGGCTGTGAAATGGCTTTACAAACTATAAAAAAAAAGATACAAAGGAAAGATTTGATGCACGGAGCCAACCCTTGACCCCACCCTTCCTGCAACCCCCCTGGTCTAACCACCTCCCACTAGACAGAGGTCAAGGCGGTAGGTGCCCCGTGAGGAGATCTGTCTTTCGGTGTTCTTTCCCTATAAAATTCTTGCCAGAACTCGCTTCCCGATGTCTGGAAGGCCGTGACAGGGAGTCTGGAGGTCCCCATGAGCCAGACCTGGGTAAGCTGTCTGAGCAGCGCCCGGGCTTAGTTTGCTGAGCTGCTGAAGATACTGGGATGTTGCAGGCGTGTGTTTGTCTAGGGGGTGAGAGCTCAGGCTACCCAGGGCATTTGCAGAGTATTTGAACATATATCACCTCACTCATATATCAATCATCCTTACCCTCTGAGGCAGCAAGGAGGAATTGAGTTAGCAAGCTGCAGACTCAGTGCCCACATCCGGGCCTTCTGAGTACAAAAAAAGTATGCGGCAGCCTGGCTCTTCTGCTGCAGAAATAAGGGAGGAGAATGGTTTCCCGCTGCGGTGGCAGAGCGAGACAGCATTAAGGCTTCTTGATGGCTTGGGAACACAAGAATCCTGCCATCACAGAGTCGGGGGGGGGGGGCAGCCAGGGTTTTGGAGGTGTTAGAGTTGGCTGGGGTCCTCACGATTTTGAATAAAGGGACTAGATATGAGGTTCCAAAGCCCCCTCTAGTGTTGGCCTTTCAGAGGGACCATCTGCTTTCTCTGTTATCCCTCATCGCCATAGCCTGCAGAATCAGGCTGGTGTCATCCGATCCTTCTGGGTCCAGAAGAACCGTGCCTAAGAAAGAGAAAGCTCCGGACTCTTCTGGCACAGGACAGAAGAAAGCAGCTGGAGCCCTTCCTTCACAGCCCAGTGCTCAGGAGGCCACCCTGGCCCTCTCAGGAGCTGCATCGGAAAATAACAGCTGGGCAAGCTGCAGCCACCCTTCCAGCTCCTTGGCACAGGGCTGGGCAGGCCCCAGCCTTTGGCCACTCTCTTCAATGCTAGAGTGCAGGCAGAGGGCGCTATGGCTGGCTTCTGGGTAGCGTGGTTTCAAGGGAAGTGGGAAGCCACTTCCACCCTCCATCCTCAGTGGCAAGGCAGGCTGTCACCTCTGTGTGTGTCTCCTGTGTCTGCAGATCTGGAAAAGGTTGCAAACTACAGCTTGGCATCTCTTTATCGTGATGTGGCGCCCTCATTTCCTAGATTTTGTGCTATCTTCGCTTGATCCAAAATATGAGCTACACAGGGCCGGCGAGGTGGTTCAGTAGGTAAAGAAAGGCACGTGCTGTCATGCCTGACAGTGATTCCCAAGACCCACACAGTGCAAGGAGACAGCTGGTTTCCCTAAGATGTTCTCTGACCTGCACAGGAGCATTGTGGTATAGACACATACACACAGACACAGACACACACACGCACACACACTATATACATATACATACACATATACATATACATATATATGTATGTAATTTAAAATATTTGAGCAGGGGCTAGAGAGGTAGATCAGCTGATAAGAGCACTGGTTTTTCTTGCAGAGGATCTAGGTTCAATTCCCAGCACCTACATTTTGGCTCACAACCATCTGTAACTCTCTTTCCAGGGGTTCAGATGACCTTTTGCTCACCCCCTTGGTAACCAGGTACATACACACAGTGCACATTACATGCAGACAAAACATTACAACATATAAAACCAAGTAAATACATCTTTAAAAATAAAAAATGATAAACAGGTTCTGTTGAGGTGGCTCAGCAGTTAAGAGCACTGGCTGCTCTTGCAGAGAATCCTGGATCAATTCCCAGCACCCACATGGCAGCTCACAACTGTCTGTAACCCCAATTCCAGGAAATCCAACACCCTCACACAGACATACATGTGGGCAAAACACCAATATACATAAAAATAAAAATAAATAAATATGGTTTTTAAAGGATAAACAAATTGAGCTATGTAGAGGCAGAGACTTACCGTGTTCCCGGCACAGAATAGCCCCAAGCAGAAAGCCTCTGACCAATGCCCGCTGAGAACTGCATCCACTCGAGTGTGCCAGTGAGTGAGTGAGAGAGGGTGTGAAGTGATAGCAGATGCTCAGCAAACACCCGGGTTCTTCCCTCAGAACCAGTTCCAATTAGTTGAGCCTTGCCGAGCTTGTCCTTGAGACCGACCTGCGAAATGACTACAAGGGGAATGGGAAGCCAAGGAGGCAGGAGGTGCTGAATGGAACAGAACCAGCGTGGAAAGGACTCCTGGGGTCCTTTTGGTGTGTCTGTCCTCTGGCTGTCTGGGGGAGTGGAGACATGTTAGGAAGCTGTTAGCTTCTGTGTGGCTTTGGGAACCATTTTCAGCCTCAGTCCTGTGGGCTGCCCTTAGACTACCACCCTTAGGGCCGTTACAATCCAACAGTGAGGAACCAGTAAGGTCAAGGCCCACACGTGAGTTGTACTTAGGACATTTGCTGGAAACTCTTAAAAGAGGTCCTTTGTGATTTCCTTCCTTCCTTCCTTCCTTCCTTCCTTCCTTCCTGCCTGCCTGCCTGCCTCCCTCCCTCCTTTCCTTTTTTCCTTTCTTCCTTCCTTCCTTTCTTTCTTTCTTTCTTTCTTTCTTTCTTTCTTTCTTTCTTTCTGAGATAGGGCTTCCCTGTTTATCTCTGGCTGTCCTGGACCAGGTTGTCTTCAAACTCAGAGATTTGCCTTCCTCTTCTTCCTGAGTGCTGGAATTAAAGATTTACACTGGCACAGCCCGGCTTCTGTAATTATTATTATTATTATTTTTAATCACTACTCAGAATTTCCTCTGTGTTGGAGAAATGAGGCTATAGGTTACCAACTGTGGGCGAGTCTTAGAATCTAAAGATTAGGCCCCTGAGCTAGTCTCTCTCTCTCTCTCTGACATGTGCACATATGCACACATACACACATACTCTCTCTTTCTGACATGTGCATGTACACACACACACACACACACACACACACACACACCCTAGGCTATGGAGAAGCCTCCTCTCAGAGGCCTCAAGGGTGGGGCCCACATATCGTCCTGGGGCCACTTCTCACACCCTGTCCATCTTTCCTCCAGGTACAAGACAGTGGTGACTCAGCGGCGGGCGGCAGTGGCCATAGCCGGCTGCTGGATTCTCTCCCTTGTTGTGGGCCTGACACCCATGTTCGGCTGGAACAACCTGAGTGTGGTAGAGCAAACCTGGGAACTTAACGGTAGCGTGGGGGAGCCGGTGATCAAGTGTGAGTTTGAGAAGGTCATCAGCATGGAGTACATGGTCTACTTCAACTTCTTCGTGTGGGTGCTGCCCCCTCTGCTCCTGATGGTCCTCATCTACCTGGAGGTCTTCTACCTGATCCGCAAGCAGCTCAACAGAAAGGTGTCCGCCTCCTCTGGCGACCCACAGAAGTACTACGGGAAGGAGCTGAAGATCGCCAAGTCGCTGGCTCTTATCCTCTTCCTCTTTGCCCTCAGCTGGCTGCCACTGCACATCCTGAACTGTATCACCCTCTTCTGCCCCACCTGCCAGAAGCCCAGCATCCTCATCTACATCGCCATCTTCCTCACCCACGGCAACTCCGCCATGAACCCCATTGTCTATGCCTTCCGCATCCACAAGTTTCGGGTCACCTTTCTGAAGATTTGGAACGACCATTTCCGATGCCAGCCCAAGCCTCCCATTGACGACGACCTCCCAGAGGAGAAAGCCGATGACTAGGCTCTGCCCTGCCGCCTCCAGCCCACATCCCGTGGCTCTCTGTTCAGCCCTCACATCCCAACGGCTCCTCCTCAGCTCCCCCCCAGCTGGGATGTGGGCACCAGGGAGGCTCCAAGAGATGCCACAGAGCAGGGCCCCTTTTACTAGGAGCTAGCTGCCCTGTACCTTGGGGAGCTGGAGGAGGCCCGGGGGTGGGTCAGGCTGTGGCAGGGAACGGGGTGCCCTGAGGTGAAGGAGTGTCTTGTGTGGCCAATACCTGGCTGTTCTACCAGCAGCTCAGAGATCCAGGGCTGGAGTACTCTGTCTCCTACAGACAAATAGGGGAGCCTGCAGTTAGGTGTTGGTGGCCCAAGGAACCAACTTCAAGGAGATGGACAGGGAAACGGGAATGCCCTTCCTTTGCTTTCTCTCCTGTTCTGGAGGAAAGGATAGCAAAGTTCACCTCCGAGTATGCTGTGTTTCTAGCCATACAGGCACTTTGATGCTTGTGGTCTGTACCCCGACAAGCCTGGGGTTATACTTGGGAGAGGCAAAAAGAGGCGAGGAGGGATCGTCTCACATTTTCTTTATTCACAGCCCTGGACTGCCACTGGGTCTTTGAGCGCTGGGAGAATTAGCTTGGTCTAGTAGGTGCTGGCCTCAAATAGCCAGCAGGGGGCAGCACTGAGTCCTTTTGCCCTGATCTCCCTGGGAGTCCCCAATGTAACTAACTTTCTGTCTTCTGGGCCATGGAGTGTCACCAACCCTCAGAGACAGGCCTGGACTCTCCTAGATGACACTATCTCTGCTTCTGGGCCCCAGGAGAAGAGAGCCTAGGAAGGACTGCCTTTGGGAGCCTTCTGCCTGGGTAGGGAGGGAGCTGAGGAATGCATCCAAGAGGGTCCCAGGTGGAGCATGGCAGGCCAGGCCAGGCCAGAGGAGACTACTCTCTCCAGAGTATGAGGGAAAACCTAGATGGTGTTTAAATATCCAAAATTGCTCCTGGGGCGGGGGGAAAACTAAGCTCAGTTTTTAGGGGCTTCAAAAGCTGTGTTACAAATAGAGTATAGATCTCAGTTAGGACCAATCCATACCCTGCTGAACCTGGATCCCTTCCTTGTGTGGAGAGCGACAGGTTCTGAGTGTGAATATTGACTCTGAGTCTTGATTCCCTCAGTTGGAGATAAGGCATCCCTGGCTCTCGAGGAGGTCCCCGCGTCTAATAAAAGACTGTGAACCCTTGCGGAGAGTTCCATGCTGGCACTACCCCAGCACTGTCAAAGGGCAACTAGGCCATCTCAGAAGAGAAGATGTAACGGTGGGGGATGGTGGTGAGGAAAGCTGGGAGAGGGGCGTGGACGCAGATGGAACAAGGAAGGTTCCGGAGATGGTGTATCTGTTGCTATAGTTACACATTTAGGGTAGCACGGTGTGAATCAGAAAGTGAGATCCAGAACATTCACACGTCTAAAAAAAAAAATGTCCCGAGCTGTCGTGAGACCCATCCTGGTGGTGGGAGTGTCTTCTCCCCTGCACCATAGCACAGACACCCATTCACAGAAGCCCTGTGTTATAATGCCACACACATTTATTTGACTGCTTCTCGCCAGTGTACAACTCTGCAGGGGGGGCAGCCTTCCTACCTTTGGGGCACTCTTGTACCCAGGAGGCCTGCCCTGAGCCTCGCCAAGCCCATTCTTGGGTCTGGACTCCAGCCTCTGGTGGAGCCAGGCCTGCAGGTACCAGAGGCCTACGGTCTTGGGTATCCATGGAGAGATGTTTGGGGCCTGAGGGCCTGATCCTCAGGCCTGGAGGACCTGGCAGAGAATGTCCCTCTGAGCCCCGGAATGCGACCAGGCTGCCAGAAGAGATGTTGAGGAGTCCACCCTTCTGTGTCTTTCCTCAGCCGCAGTTCTCACTGCTGTGCGCTGCCTAGTGTATCTCTAGAGACGCCATAGTTCATCCAAAGCCCCAGAGCCTCCAAAGGAAGAAGGCAGGGCAAGGGCTGGCTCCCTACAAAGACAAGGATGCAAAGAGAAACTATGTTTACAGTCACTCAAAGCCGAGACTAGACCCTGTCCTGTGACACCCGCTTCCCTTCCCTCCTGGCCCTCACCAGCCCCGCCCAGCCCTACCCTGACCTCACCAAACTGAACATGCATGCGATCTGTGTGCTGTCTTCCTGCCTCCCCAGCCCCTCTCCAGTAGATTTTCCCTCCCCACTCCCCTCTTCGGCCATGCTGTCGCTGGAAGGAGTGGCCTCTCACCTGTGTCCTTTGCAGTGTCTGCCCAAATTGCTCCTCAGTGTGTGGCAGAGGCTGAAAGAGACCCTACAGCTTAGAGCCTGAGAGGCTCGAGGTCAGTGATCCCCAGTGCCCCGGTCCCCAACTAGAGAGAGCATCTTCCCACCTGGAAAGTCACCCAGACTCTCCTTGACCCCTCCTGCTCCTTGTCTCCTGCTCCAGTTATCACTCTAAGCTGTGTCTAGTCCAGCTCCAAAGAGGGACTCTGTCTGTCCCTGGGAACTAAGGGAGCCTTCAGACTCTCACCTTTGACCTCCAACCGGCAATCCACAGAGGCCTCTCCTAGCACGTTGATGGCCTTGCAAGTGTAGACCCCAGAATCAAAGGGGCTGGGCTTCCGGATTTCCAGGGTGCAGACCCCTTGTTCAGAAACTGCCCGATACTTGGGGTCACCCTGGATGTCCATCTTGTTTTTCATCCAGACGATCTTGGGCTGCGGGCACACGGTGAGATGAAGCAAAGCGACAGCATGGTTGGAACCAGCTCTCAACAGAGAGTTCCAACCCCACTGTCCTTGCCCACCCCACGCCCAGGGCCCCTCACCTTAGGCGATGCTCGCACACTGCAGAATAGTTGTGTGTTGTAGCCAGGAGTGGAGGTGTGGTCAGCCAGGGGCTGGGTGAACGACGGGGCTTCTGAGAAGTCTCGCTCAATAAACCCCTTAGGTTTGGCAGTGATGTCTGGGTTCAGGGGAGAATTTGAGGTTATAGGAGTGGAGGGGGCTTCAGAAAACCGGCCTCAACCCCCCAGGCTTTGGGAAGCTCGGCGTGGTCAACATGTGGAAACTGTCAGGCACGAGAGAAAGCCTAGCTGAGGAGGGCGGAGGCCGGTCAGGAGGAGAACGGGGGGGGGGGGGGGCAGGGAAAACCAGAGCCGCAGGAGCAGGACAGAGTGGCAGAAACTGAACATCACATTCCATCTCCGTCTGTCTTTGGGACCTGAGTGGCTCTCCTTCATGTTAAACACGCAACCCTTATGGCCATGCTGTTCCGGTTGATGTTCCAGGGTGAGTGAGATGCTCAGGGGGTAAGGGTGCTTGCCACCAAGCTCGACACCCTGGGACCCGGAAGGTCGAAGAGGGGAACTGACAAGTTGTCCTTAGAGTCCACATGCGTGTGTGCATGTGAACACACACACACTCACACACAAATAAATGTAATTAAAACGAACAATAATTAAGAGTGTGTACGTTGTGGGGAGGAGCTGTAAATACCGTAGTCAGTTTTTGTGGGAGGAGGTGCCAGACTTTACAGGTTGCCAGTCATGGACACGTTGCCCTTCAGCGTGTGCGCCTGGGAACACTGTGCAGGAGACCCAGCGACTTCTGGGATGATAGACGCCTCAGTCTTAGAATAAGCACACAGCCTCCTGAGGGGCACTGCTCATTTGCACGGCTTTGCTGTGGTGTTTGCTAGAGTCTGTCAGTCACTCCCTGTCAGTGTGTGGACACATTTGTGCGTACGCGCCTGCAGAATTCTGATGGGGGGAGGGAGGCGAGGGAGGGGCGGGCAACAAACATTCCAGGGAGGGCAGTGACTGAGGGGAAGCCTAGAGGGATGTGGGCACGCGGAGGAGGAAGAAGTCGTTGCAGATGTTGGTATACTGGCGGCGCTGATTTTGGATTCCTGGCCAGGTTCAAACCCACTTACCTGCCTTCTGGATGTGAGCCAGCTCCTTGGTGGTGGTGGCTAGATCACTGAGGCCACACAGGTTTTCTGAGAAGACCCGGAAGGAGTAGGAGTTGCCAACGATGAGGTCTGAGATGGTGCAGGTAGTAGGATGGTAACGCTCCAACACGGTGAACCATTGCTACGGGGACCATGGCTGGGTTATGCTCAGCCCTTTCCCAGCCCTCGTCTTCCCTGCTCACGCTAATCCCGCTCAGAGGGGCTCATGCCATGCCCCAGCTTTGGGAGGCTGAAGCCTTCAACCCTGGGCCTGAGGGACTTGGAAGTAGGAGAGGGACTTCCTGGGCCACTCATGAGTCTCACTACCCAGCCCCCAGCCCCCAGCCCCAACCACCTGCATCAGAGTCTCCATTTAGCAGTTTCCCAGGTGATTTGTATGCGTGGTAAGATAGACCCATTGCAGCCCAGGGCGGTGCACCCCGAAGACTGAGGTGTAGAGAGGGCAAAGCTTGCCAGGACCATACAAGGAGTCGGCAGTAGCGGCTCTAGTCTTAGTGGGATGGACCTTTGTGTCCCGGACCCCTTCTTTCGCACCCGTTACACCCCAGCCAGCCTCACCCCTGTCTTTTTGTCTGCCTTCTGCACCGTGTAGCCCAGGAGCTCTGTGTTGCCTGTGTCCTGGGGTGGAGTCCACTCGAGGGCAGCGTTGCAACCCCAGACATCCAGCAGCCTGATGCTGCTCGGGGGCCCGGGCTTCTCTGCGGGTCCAGATTATGAAGGGAAGTGAGGAGGAGCAGGGCTGCGACACACCCAAGGTTTGGCGCATGCACTTGCCATGATACCCTAGCCTTCCCTCGCCCACCACCAGGTCTGGGAGGGGAGGTGGGGGACGAGGGGCTTGAGGCAGCCCTTTCTCCTCTGTCCGTGTACCAATCACGAGGATGTCAATGTTGGCCTTGGCTTCCAAGCCTTCCAGATGCACAGTGAGCTCGTAGCGGCCCGAGTCTGAGCGCTGAGCTGAGCGGATAAAGAGGATGGAGTCCTGGTCTCCGCTGCGCACATTTACCCTCTGGCTGTCCAGGGCATGGCCATTGTGGGTCCAAGAGGCCTGCGGCTTGGGCT